GACCCACCCACAGATCGCTGAGCGCCTGCGTCTCTGTGCCCCGCGGGCCCGGAACACCTGCCGGCATAGCACCCGCCACCCCAGGCCTCAGCTGCCTCCACCAGACTGTCAGCGCTGGGGGGCAGGGTCTCTGCCTGATACGTCCTGGCAAACCCAAGGACTGACACCGGGAGGAGCAAAATGATCTCTGTGATGGAAACAGATCTTGGATTTAGGAAGAGACTCTTCCTTAGCCGGGAGGGCGGCTCAAGATCCGGCTGGGCTGGTCTACCCTCAGGGCTTCCCCCCTCCCCCTCCCCACCTCGGCCCTCCAGGGGCCCGGCCACTATTCAGGGGTCCCCACGAATCCTGAAGCCACAGGGGGAGGGGAGGACATAATTCCGCCGTGCCACAGCGCCACCTGTGGTGACAGAGGACATTGGAGAATGATGCCTAAACACCTGAGCACGAGACACGCCCTCCCCGGCCACCTGCAGCTGACTGTCCCAGGCCCTGCCCAGACGGGCTCCCAGAGCCTCACCTGTGATCTTGGGGATGCCTTCCAGCCGAGGCACAGGCAGCAGGACAATAACACCCTGGTCGGTGCCCACCCAGAGCAGACCCTGGCAGATCAGGAGGCTGGTGACACACAGGTGCTTTTGGCCTGCGGAGAGAGAAGCCAGCGTGAGCCGCACAGCCTCCCCCGGGAACGGCAGTGGGTTCTGGGGGCTTCGAGGTGAGGAAACAGCTCCTCCTGTGAGACCGGCAGGAAGCTGGATGGGGCTGTGGTCAGGACATGGGCTTGGGAGGCTGACCTGGCTGGATCCCCCAGCTGAGTGCCCCTCTACCCAGCCTGTTTCCACCCAGGGAAAGTGGGACTGCCCGAGGAGGCAAGGGGGTTGAGCCACTGGCCACGGAGCTGGCCCGTGGGGGCCCTCCGCGGCCAGGTGGGGAGCAAAGAAGGGTTTGAGGGCGACACGGATGTTGGCGCACATGGGATGCCTGGGAAGGGAGCCGGCGTGGACGCAGAAGCGAGGCGAGTCGGCAGTCTGCCGCAGTCCCTCGGTCTCCAGCCCAGGCCTGTCCTTCCGCCCACGCGGGCCCTTCCCTGGGTGAAGGCACAGCGCACCCGGCAGCCCCTGGCCTGACGTGCCAGGAACCAGCATGTTACTGATGGCGGTCCAGATTAGCGCCTGACCGTCCCCCTGGTGCCGTCTCTTCGTTTCATCAAGAATGCGGTGGCAGGGACAGTGCGGGGATCCCTCCGCCCTTTACAGGCAGGAAGCGCAGCATGAGCCACGCCCCACAGTGGCCCAGAGCAGGGTCTCCAAGGCCAGGCGCTGGGCTCAAACCCGGGCTCTGCCCCTTCCCAGCTACATGACCCAGGCCGGTCCCTAAACCCCTCTGCGCCGTGGCTCCCTCACCCGCAAGAGGGGACAATGACGATATTCCACAGCCTCGTCCTGAGGATGAAATGAGTCAACGACTGAGCGGAAACCACCTAACCCAGTGCCCGGCACACGGCACACACAGAAAGGCGCCTTCGGACGCTACTGCTGTTGCCCTGTTGACGACGACGGTCGCCGGAAAAGGGCACGAGGGACAGGCGGCACTGACGCCCCCCTGCCTTCCTAAAGGGCCGTCTTGCTTCTTGCCCGATTCCTCCTGCCCCCCTGAGAGGGGCCAGCTCCTCCCTAAAAGGAAATTCGAACTCATGCCATGTGCCATGGCGACAGCAATGCCACGCGGTGTGTGAAATGACGCTCGGAGCACCGGTTCGCGGCCTGGACGTGTCTCAGCACCAACAGCAGGGCCAGGAGGCCCCCAACTGCATTTCCGGCAAGTACCCGGGTGTCACTGATGCGTGCTGGTCCAGGGACCGCACTCTGGAGTTTCTAAAGCACACAGAAACCCGGTCTGGTCGGACGTAAGCCTTGCAGCGGCCTGGGACACGTGTGAGACACGGATGTTATGCCCGTTTTCCAGATGAGGACAGGAAGGCCCAACGAGGTCACCCAGCTGGTGAGTGTGGGGCAGGGGCAGGGCTCAGGTCTGCTGGTTGCAGTCTGTGCCTCTGTTGCCTCTCCGCTCTTGAGCACATTACTGCGGTTCCACGCGTGTAAGGGTACAAGCTTCCTGTGCACGGCAAACAGCCTCCGAGCCGAACGGGGCGGCTCCCCAGGGTTCCCATGTCGGGGTTCACGCGGCACCGTCTAACACAATGGACTCTACCATCACTGACCCACTCACTCGGCACTCCGGGACACCCCAAGCACCTACTACGCGCAGGACTCTGCACTCAGTGCTGGAGGCACAGTGGGAGCCACACACGCGAAGTTCTGCTCTTGAGGAGCAAACACTCTAGGACTTTCTGTGATGATGCAAATGTTATGGATCACGCTGTTCGATGCGGCAGCCACTAGCCACAGGTGGCTCGTGGACACGGGCTATGTAGCTGGTGGGATTAAGGCACTGAATTTTTCATTTCATCCGGTTTTCATCGTCATAGCGGCTACCGTATTAGCACAGTCTAGAGAGCGGAAAGAGGAAGTGAAGACATAAACCAGGAACATAAATACCAGGCAGAGGATTCAGATGGGAGCATGGGGCAGGGAGAGAGTGGGCAGGAAGGTTCCTGAGCTTCCTGACTTACCCCCACATTCTGGAAGGATAGGGAAGCAGGCGTGGGGACGTGAGTTTCGAAGGACAAGGAGGAGGCAGCCACCCCGAGCCCTGAGCTAAGGCCTGGGGCACAGCACATGCAAAGGCCCTGTGGCAAGAATAAGAGGGTGGCAGGAGCAGACTACAGCCAGCGCAGCTCGGGGATCGGGAGGGGGGTGGAGCTCAAGACAAGCAGAGAGCGGGTAGGCCAGGGTAAGAGCGGTGACTGTTCGTTCTGAAGCTACATTCTAGAAGCTATTGGAAGGTCTGAGCAGAGGCGTGGGTGGCCTGGCTTGGAGGAGCGAGCGCTTTGGCCTCAGTGTGGTGGAGGGCAGGGAGGGAGCAAGCAGACCAGCCAGGCAGAGATGTGGTGGCGAGACGCCATGGTGGCCTGGAGGACGACAAGAAGCCAGCTCGTTCGAGATCCGGTCCGAAGTCGAATGGCAGAGAGCGGACAGGCGTCGAGGGCAACTCCAAGGTGTTTGGTCTCGAGCAGCTGGGCGCCTGGCAGTGCCTGGGACTCCGACGGGAGGGCGGGCCTGGGGTGGAAGGCCACGCTGCCTCCCGGATACGCGGACGCACATGGTGGGCCTGGCCACGCGACGCGAACGGAGTCCCACTCGCGGTGCTGATTCAACACGGGAACGCACACCCCAGGAAGAAGAGCCGGGCCCGTCTCTGGACAACAAGGGCCGTTTCACGAACGGGTCTGGGTGTGTGCAAAGCTGGGGCTCCTGCCCACGCCCGCATCAGCTCAAAACGCGCAGACACCAACCAGGAGGACGGGCTCCCGGCCGGCGGCGGGTGCTCCCAGCCCCTCCTCACCACCTGGCCCCCGCTCAGCCCTGGTCAGGGTCTCCATCGCCCCATCTCGCTCTCTCTCTCTCTCTCGCCGCTTGCTTTCGCAGATGGAAGCCTCGTGAGGGCAGCAGCTCATCTGCACACTCAGAGTTGAGTTGATTCCCCAGCTCGTGGCTCAAGCGCCCTCGGCTCGTGAACAAATGAACGAGCGAGAGCAGAATAGCGAAAAAGGACACGGGTGCGGGTGTCACGCACGGGGCGTGCGAACTGACAAGTCATTTTCTTTCCCTTCTCTATCCGTGAGTATTATAAACCTGCCTCGCTCAGTTTTATGATTATTGGAAATACACGTGTGTCTGTATAATACACACACACAGTTGGGCGCAGCTCTTAGCCCAGAGTGTACAATCAATAAAAGGAGGCCATTAGGATAACGTCTGTGATTATTAAAAGGACCTAGACTCGTGGCTCAACATCAGCTCCATCAGAGCCATAAACCCACAAAAATAATTAAGCCCAGAGAGCGAGCAGTGGCAAATTTTTCATCTCGCTGCCTCACCTCCTATTCCAGGGAACCCTGGGGCCGTGAGCCCAGCAAGAGACGGCTCCCCGATGCCCCCGCATCCTCCCGGCCCCCACTGGACAGCTGAGACCCAGCAGACGAGAGGAGGGCAGCAGGAAACCCAAAGAAGTGCCACCAGCATTGAGAAATGACTTCATCTGCAGACCTCATTCTAGGGCCCTTCCTCCTCCCTGTCTGCCTCGAGGAAAAGATCAAGACACTTCACAAACAGTCCGAAAGGAAAAAAAAAAAAAATTCTAATGGTGGATAAATATTTTATCACAGAGACTTAATGCAGCAGTGTTCGACTCACCCAAGCCATCTATCTGGAGATATACAACTTTAAAAGGCTCAGGCTCTTGGAGAACATTTTATTAATGACCTGTCTAGTTAGGAGGAGGGGGGGAGTTTAGGTTCAAAAAATGCATTAATACCAGCCGGGTACAAGAGAGGAAGAAAGGGGTCGGGGGAAGGAAGCGTGATAAATTTTTAACACGCCCTTAAAAAAGTCCACACTTAGAGGAGGAACAAATTTATTACTAATTATGCAATTATTTCATTTGGTGGTGCGGGGGAAGAAAAAAAATACTTAAAAGCCTTTTAAAAATATTTCTAATAAAGAATTTACGAATCCTGCTCTGTTGTTCTTCCGCCAGGGGCACAGTGTGAAACGGGTCTGAAGCCGCCCTCTCCCTGGGGCAGCTCCGGCCCGGCTCTTCTGGGGTTTGGGGGGGTCCTGGCCCCAGCCCCAGGCTCCACGGTGTCGCTGACTAGGAACGGTCAGGCCTGGCAGAGGAGGCCCAGGGCACTAAGCCCTGGGGAAACTAAGCCTCCCCCCCTGCCCACATGTCCCAGGGCCCAGCCCCAGGGAGGTCTGGCCAGCGAGAGGTGGCTTCTGTCTGCTGGATGTAGCAGGTACAGCCGGAAGGACATGGGCTGGAGAGTGGGGGCGGAGCAGGGAGGCACCCTGGGAGATGTGCAGCCCACAGGGCGGGTACGGCGAGGGGCAGGGATGGCCACGAAGATGAGAACAAAGATGATGCCCCTGAATGACACCGCCGTGGACCAGGACTCACTCCAGCCAGAGACTATGGGGTGCTGTCCCTGCACCGCCTCAGGCAAGGCCCAACCTCCCTGGGAGGCAGGGACCGGGGATCCCAGGGGTTCCCCACCTGCCCCAGGTCACGGGGCTGGGTGGCAGCAGAGCCAGCCTGACTCCAGCTCTGGTCCGCCCTGTGCCCCACGGCCAGGCTCCGACTCAGATCTCGGCCCCTCCGTGTACAGATGGGGCAACTGAGGCCTGGGAATGGGGACGCTGCCCAGTAAGTCTCGGAGAGGCTGCAATTAGGGGCCTGGCTCCGGCCTCCTGGGCATATGACCTTCCAGGAGGTCATTTAGGCTCCCGGGCCTCCGTTGACCTGGCCCTGACATAATCATAAGATAGCGAATGCCCTTCCTTCTTCAAAGGGTAACTGCGGAGAACAAGTAAGCCAGTGGGTGTGCAGATGCATTTTGAGCTCACGTGGTAAAGTCACAGTTGTGCCCGAGGGGGCTGCGGCTGTCCACCTGCATCCGGGTCTGCCCGCCAGTCCCGCCTCGGACGGCCTGACGGGCTGATTCTTTCTCTCCCCTCCTCTGCCCCCAGATGAAGCTGAGGAGATTTAAAAGGCCCACTTATTTTGTTGTTCCACTAACTTGAAGTAATTTAGCTATCAGCAAAATGTGGAAATATTTTTGTGATATAGAGAAATTTCTATCATAGGTAAAATAGATTTACCTTGTATAATGGCTAAATACTGTGAAATGCAATGAAACTGAAGAAGGAGGGAAGGAAGGGGAGGGAGGAAGGAAAGGGAGGAAGGAAGGAAGGAAGGAAGGAAGGAAGGAAGGAAGGGAAATCAGGGATGAAGGAGGGAGGGAAGGAGGGAAGAACAGGCAAAGAGCCATAACCCAGGTCCCACAGAGCCCACACAGCACACCCTGGAAAGTGTATTATGGCCCTATTTATTCTCCTCACACACCTACCATGCTCCAAGCCCGTGCAAGGTGTCTTCCCATGCCTGAAGGCATTTATCCGGAGCCAGGAAGCCCTCTGTCTAGTCCCACAGACGGACCACAGACCAGCAGGCAGAGAGACCTGCCCAAGCCCCACAGTGGCCGAGCCAGGGCTCTGGCCACCTCTGAAACCATGTCTTCCCCGTTATACACCGTGGGACTCTCCCATAGACTCCCAGCCCTGCCTCTGGCCTGCCGCGTGACCACGGACAAGCCACTTCATGGGGTTACGGTGAAACGCGACCCTGTACGTAAAACACTTGGAACCCAGCTCACCGCAGGGTTTGTGGCAGGCTACTGCCACCGCTGAACGTGGAGCAAGCAACCACCACCCCCTGTCGCCACCAGGCCAGACTCAGGGACCATTGTTGTGCCTGGCCGGGAGGAAGCAGGATCTCTGGGGGTGATCTCTGGGTCCCCTGGCTGGGGTCAGGGACCAGGCCTCTGTGGTAAAACAGAGGCCCCCACGCGGCCCCTTAGGTTTTGGCTAACGTGCTTGTCCTTGGCCCAGCCTCACAGGACGGGGAGATCAGTCCCTCAGCTCAGCACACAGCCACTTCTGGCCTCCACACGGCCCATCTGCTGAGTCCTTGTAACAATTAGCTCCCCACCTGCCATGCCGGGCCCGTGTCCCTGGCCCCAGGGCCCCTCGGCTCTCCCAGCTGCCAAACCTAGCCCAGTTTGGACAGGATGGAGCCTCTACATCCTCCCAGACCAGTCTATTTGTCTCCTGGGGGCTGGGCCAAGCTCTAAAGCCAGCCCGGGGGTAGGAACGGGCCCTGAGCAGGTGTCTGCCCTGGTTCCCTCCAGCACGGCCTGCAGGGTCTGGGCAGCACCTTGGACAGCAGACGGTAAGGGCGCTGCCTGGAGCCGATTCCACAGAGGCAGATGCGGGAGGAGCAGGGTATTAGGCGAGCTCCAACCTTACTCCTCTCCACTGAGCATCACCAGTAGCTCTGCAGGAGGAAGCAGGGCCCCAAGGGGATGACGTCCAAGCCCTTCGCCCTCCGCCTGCCTCCAAAGCCCAACCAGCAAACTAAGAGAGACAGCTGCCTTTCTTAGAAAAACCTCTAAAGAAATAGACCCCTGTCGGCCTTCTCTCTTGCCCCTCGCCTCATGTTCCGAACGTGATGGGAGGCAGAACTGGGTGTCTGGTCAACCTGAGGGGCGGCAGGTGTAGACGGGCCTGGGTTCCCACCCAGTATGGCTTTTTAGCAGCTTCCTGATCTGGAAGTCTGCTGAATTTGGAGCCTCATTTCCCACGAGGGGTGAGAGGGAAGAGCGACAACAGCAAGAGAGGTTTTGGAACGATGCCCTGAGTTCGAATCCCGACCCTGCTGTCTCCCCTCTCGAAGGCCCAGTTTTTGATGCCGGCCAAACACTCCTATGAGGGTTAACAACATGGGCTGACCAGGAGGCACCTCCGCCTGGCCACGGAAGATGCTGCACGGATATCAGCATCTTCCCCGCACAGGCCCAGGACAGCAGGGCGCGATGCCCAACAGCAGCCTCACCCGGCAGGAGGAAGGTGGTCCTGGTGGCGATGTTGATCTCCTGCAGATGCTCCAGTGTCTCAGTGTGGAAGAGGCGGATGGAGGAACCAGAGGAGAAGGCCATCCAGACGCCGCTACCCGCCTTCACCATGTGCGTCACACTCACGGCCTCGTCCTGATGCGCCTCGAAGCTTTGCTGCGGCACAGAGAGAAGGGTGTTGGTGCTGGGCTGGGCCTGCCAGCTGAGCCTCGGGAGGCCAAGCTAACTAACCCAGCCTCTGCCTGAACCAGACTCAGGGCTAGAAGGGACCCTCAGAAGCCTAGCAGTGAGTAGTGTGCTGGGAAGTGTTTAACTACTGGTGGGGAATCCTGGTTTGCCCTGTCTGCCGATTCCCATGGTGTCAATATTTCCAACATGGGCCATCTCAAGCTACCCACATGACATCAATGAACAAGGAACTAGGAAAGGGATAACAGACCAAGCTCTAGCATGCCCCTGTGACACAAGGGAAAGTCAGGGCCAAAAGGCGACACAAGAGGAGGTGGCATCTTATGAATATCATCTAGAGTTACAAAGGCAACTAACGGAACAATCGGGAAAGGGAGGTGGGTCATGTGAGTCAAATCCTAATCCTTTACATCTCTGCATCCGAATCTTTGCATCTGTGGGGATGCAACACATAATGTCCAAAAATTGATGAGAAACAGCAGGGAGCGGGGTTCAAAATGGTGAAGCAGCAAGATCCTGACCTCACCTCCTCCCACGGACACAATTATCTACACATACTCGTGGAATAATTCCCTCTGAAAGGAACCTGGAAACTGAATGAACTGAGCCTCCACAAGAAATATAAAAGGATGGTGTCGAGACCAGATGAGAGGCAGAGACACCGACGCACCAGAGGAAAAAACCCAGCCGTGGCGAGTCACAATCAAGAGGGATATCAAAGGTAGAGAACTTCCCTGAGGAATGAGGAATTCAAGCTCTACATCAGGCACCCCAACCCTTGGACCCTGCACAGGAGAGATGAGCCCCCAAAACACCAGGCTTTGAAAATCAATGGGGATTATATTCAGAGACTCTAGAAAACCGGAAGGAACAGGAAACTTGCTCTTAAGGGGCTTGCACACACTCACTCAACCTGGAAACCAGTTGAAAACGCCAATTTGAAAAAAAGCATACGCCACTGATAAAGAAGATCCATTTACTACAAACCTTAGAGGGTCTGCCACAGTGGCAGAAAACAGCAGGGGCTCTGCCCATGCACTGAGACCCTGGTAGGAGCCCTTTTGTCCATCTCAGCCTATCTTACTAAGAATGGTACTGGTGGGCGCCATTTTGGAATTCTCCCTGTAACCTACTAGTGCCAGTGGGTGTACTCCACTGAGAACCTTGTCCACCAATGTGCCCCAGTAGACGTGGACATGCCCACAGCCAGGCCAGGAGCCAGCCCCACCTACCAATGTGTCACAGCCACAGTCCCACCACAACAGGAGGGCACACACAGCCCACAGAGGGGACAGCCCTTGAGCACCTGGCTCTGGAGACCAAGAAGTTTCCACTTCTGGGTCCCATACATCCTCCCCTACATAAGGCCATTCATTTGAGACTGGGAGAGGTCAGTGATTTACCTAAATACATACAGAAAAACACAGAGTAAGGCAAAATGAAGAGACAGAGGAATATGTTCCAAATTAAAAAAAAAAAAAACAAGACAAAACCTTAAAGAAAGAACTAAATGAAACAGAGATAAGCAATCTACTTGATAAAGAGTTCAAAGTGATGGTCATAAAGATGCTCCGTAAATTCAGGAGAAGGATGGATGAATACAGGGAGAACTTCAACACAGAGAGAGAAAAATAAAAGAAAATACCAAACGGAAATTATAACTGAACTGAAAAATACACGAGAGCGGTCCAACAGCAGACTGGATGAAATACAACAAATCAGCAAGCTGGAAAATAAAGCAATGAAAAACACCCAGGCAGAGCAGCAAAAGGAAAAAAGAATTAAGTAAAGTGAAGACACCTGAAGCGACCTTTGGGACAACATCAAGTGGAATGACATTCACATTACGGGGATCCCAGAAGGCGAAGGGAGAGGGAAAGAGCCAGAAAAAAAGAAATAATGACTGAAAACTCCCCTAACCTGGGGAGGGAATCAGACATCTGGATCCAAGAAACCCGGAGAGTTCTAAACCACATGAACTCGAAGAGAACCACACCAAGATACCCTGTAATTAAGATGGTAAAAGTTAAAGGAAGAGTCCTGAAAGCAGCAAAGGAAAAACTTGTCAAGTACAAGGAAAACCCCACAAGGCTATCAGCAGATTTCTCAACAGAAACTTTCCAGGTCAGAAACGAGCGGCCTGACACATTTAAAGTGCGGAAAGGAAGAATCTCCCAACCAAGAATTCTCTAACCCAGCAAGGTTACCATTCAGAATTGAAGGAGACATTAAGAGCTTTTCAGATAAGCAAATGCTAAAGGAGTTCTTCACTACCAAACCAGTTCTACAAATACTGCTAAAGGGACTCCTTTAAGCTTAAAAGAAATGGCACTAATCGATAATAAGAAAACATACAAAAGTAAAAATCTCACTGGAATAGGTAAATGTACAGCAAAGGTAATGAGCCAATCACTTCTACAGCAAGCATAAAGATGACAAAATGTAGGGCCGTCTGAGTGGCTCAGTTGGTTAAGCGTCCAACTTCGGCTCAGGTCACGATCTCGTGGTCCGTGAGTTCGAGCCCCGCATCGGGCTCTGGGCTGACAGCTCGGAGCCTGGAGCCTGCTTCCGATTCCGTGTCTCCCTCTCTCAGCCCCTCCCTTGCTCACGCTCTGTCTCTGTCTCTCAAAAATAAGTAAGAGTGTTTGAAAAAAAATTTTTTTAAAGATGAAAAGATGGAAGTACTAAAATTAACTAAAATCACAATAATTCATTGAGGGAAAAGCATGAAACAAAAAAATATAAAATGTGTCATCAAACATAAAACATCAAGGGTGGGGAGTAAAAAGGTAAAGCTTTAGAATCTGTTTAAAATTACACTGTTATCAACTTAAAACAGACTGCTATTGCCAATAGGAGATTTTACATGAACCTCAAGGTAAGCACAAGGAAAAACTTATAGTAAATACCCAAAAGAAAATGAGAAAGGAACCTAAACATAACAGGAGAAAACCATCAAACCACAAGGGAAGAGAGCAAAAGAAGAAAGGGACAGACCGGGAACTACAAAAACAGCCAGAACACAATTAACAAAATGGCAGTAAGTATACACTTACCAACAATTACTTCAAATGTAAATGGACTGAAAGCTCCAATCAAAAGCCAGAGGGCGGCTGAATGGATACACAGCAAGACCCATCTCTACACTCCCTACGAAGGACTCACTTTGAAGTAAGGACACACACAGACTGAGAGCGAAAGGATGGAAACAGATATTCCGTGCACAGGGGAATGAAAAGAAAGCTGGGGTAGCGATACTTACACAAAGTAGAGTTGCAAACCAAGCCCGTAGTAGACGACAAAGAGGGGCACTACACAAATGATAAAGAGGTCAATCCCGAGGGAGATGTAATTTTTATTAACATCTATGCATCCAACATGGAGCACCAAAATTTAGAAAGCAAATCTTAACGGACCTAAACGGAGAAATTGACAGCAACCCAATAATAGTCGGAGACTTTACTACTCTACTTTCCTCAGTGGACAGATCATCCAAACCAAACAAAAAAATCAATAAGGAAACATCGGCCTTAAATGACACATTAGACCAGATGGACTTAACAGGTGTATAGAGAACTTTTCGCCCCAAAGCAGCAGAATACACATTCTTCTTCGCAAGGGCACAGGGAACATTTTCCAGGGTAGATCACATGCTGGGCACAAAAGAAGTCTCAGTAGATTCAAGAAAATTGACATTTTATCAAGCACCTTTTCTAGCCACAGTGGTATGAAACCACAAATTAATTATAAGAAGAAAATGAGAAAAACCACAAGTTAGGAAGACGAAAAAACTATGTTACTGAACAATCAACAGGTCAAAAAAGAAATCAGAGAGGAAATTTTAAAGAATACCTAGAACACTTCTCCAAAGAAGACACCCAGATGGCCAACAGGCACATGAAACGATGCTCAACGTCGCTCATCATCAGGGAAATATAAACCAGAGCCACACTGAGATACCACCTCACACCAGTCAGAGCGGCTAAAATGAACAAATCAGGAAACTACAGATGCTGGCGAGGATGTGGAGAAAGGGGAACCCTCTTGCACAGTTGGTGGGAATGCACACTGGTGCAGCCACTCTGGAAAACAGTGTGGAGGTTCCTCAAAAAATTAAAAATGGAACTACCCTACGAGCGAGCAATAGCACTGCTAGGAATTTACCCAAGGGATACAGGAGTGCTGATGCATAGGGGCACATGTACCCCTATGGGTTTTTTTCAATTTTTTTAATGTTTATTTATTTTTGAGAAAGAGAGACACAGAGCATGAGCAGGGGAGGGGCAGAGAGAGGTGGGGAGCAGACTCCAGGCTCTGAGCTGTCAGCACAGAGCCCGACGCGGGGCTCGAACCCACGAACTGCGAGATCATCATCTGAGCCGAAGTTGGCTGCATCACCAACTGAGCCACCCAGGTGCCCCACTAGAAAGGAGATTTTAACAGCAATCAAAAACCTCCCAACAAACAAAAGTCCAGGACCAGGAGCCTTCCCTGGTGAGTTCTACCAACATTCAAAGAAGATTTAATACCTACCTTTCCCAAATTCCTCCAAACACTTAAAGGGAGGAAAGCATCCAAACATATTTTACAAGGTCAGCATCACCCCACCAGACGTGGACACCACACAAAGAAAGAAAATTACAGGCCAATGCCCTTGATGAACGTAGATGCAAAAATCCTCAACAAAACATTAGCAAGCTGAATCCGACAGTACATTAAAAGGGCCATACACCATGACCAGGTAGAATTTACTCCAGGCATACAAGGATGTTCAACATCTGCCAATCAATTCATGTGATACAGCACATTAGCAACATGAAAGATCAAAATCATATGATCCTCTCAATAGATGCAGAAGAAGCATTTGGCAAAATGCAACATCCATTTATGACGTTGAAAAACTCTCAAAACAAGGTGGGTACAAGGGAATGTACCTCAACCTATATGTGACAGTCCTACAGCTGATA